TACTGCGGTCAGGGTGCAACCTTCTTTTGGTGGAAGCCATTAGGGTAGGACCGTACACATTTGCTCGCTAGGGTAAAGGTGTTGGAAGAAATTCTCAAATAGTTGTTTTTCTAGCCATCCTGACTTGTTCCCTCTACCGCTAGACAGCAAAAATTTCGGCGAAATCGATGAGTGGGTAAGAGGTTAGACAGGTATTCAAAGGGGTCACTGTTGTTGGGAAGAAGTAAGACTGCTACTTCATTCTACCCTACAGTGTTTTCTGAGAGATACTGTATTGCATACACCAGTGCTTCCTAGCCATAAATCAACATTTCAGAGCTATCTTTCTCAGCGCTGTGTTCGTTGACATAAACATACGTTCAGGAAAAGCTTGGAGGGAATCCTAGTAAATAGAGGCAATAGTTCTCGCCATAAACGCCAAGTGAATGAGCGTGCTTCTCTATGGACGGATAACACAGTGTTCTACGAGTTTGATGATAACTATGGTAATCAAAATTCAATTATTGCATGAGAATTGTGGCAGGAGAATGTACCAATCATATGATGAAATGTCTCAGAGGAAAACGCTCGCGAAATCGTCAGGGAGGCAATGGCCTACATTGCCGGACACACATGTATTGACTTTCGTGAAGATCCAACTGCTACTAATCGGTTACGAATTGTCAAACTAGATCGTGACGCTAAGGCTTCTTCTTCGGAATGCGGGATGCAAGGAGGTGTGCAGGAGCTGTCCATGGTTCCTGACTGCCCGGTATGTTCTGTACTTCTCGACTGTTTTTCGACACTAGTGACCGCTTTTCTCTGTATGGAGAGGCCAATTGAAAAAAGAAATACATCACTGGACTGAGGTGCACTGAATTCCTTGTGAGGGTTGTTGTTGGTTCTTATACCGTGTTCGGTCTATACATTTGGGAATCAGCCGATGTACAGTTTGTACTAGGCTATTCGGAAAGTTTCTTAGCGCACCTGCAATTTTGTTAATTCTGTCTTCTAACACATTCCACAAGAAATCGACGTACGCATCGTTATTATCTATACTGTGGGGTTCTCGACGCCCCAGTTCTTGAAGTACTGTGAGTAGAGTTTACGGTTATCGAAGTGTTTAGTCAGGGAAGAATAATAACAACTGCGAATACGAACAAGTATGAATGAAGAACAAAGTAGGGGGGCGACGAGGGTACTCCAGTGGCCACTGGCCACGTAGCAGCAGCTAACTCTGAATGAATCTACGTAACATAACACTCCCGCCTGTACACATCCGACAGGTTACTTCCTGCTGAATCGTTTTCGGAGGGAAGAAACTTGTATGACCCATCTAGACACGAGCGCTCCCCTGTAGCGCCTTACTCTTTATTCCGTGGCCAAGGCCCCCTCTATCCAACAATACAACATTGCCGCTTGTACAAAACATGCAACAACGACGGAAAATTCACGAGGAACCTTTCGAAATTCTCCCTATCGTTGAACTGCTTTCTGTGCAAATGGTTGGGCAAGGGGAGAAACATATGAATAAGAAAATAAATAAATGAACAAATATGGCCGTCTGCTGGAGCCAGGCCCGGTCCATATGATGGTGGCCAGAATAAGCCATTTGAGACCGTGTAACCTTTTCCCAGTTTCCCCAGTTTCCTTTTCAATGTGTGGGCGCGCCTCGTATTAAGGGAAGAAGATCTTATCTTTCCTTCCCACGGAAGCTGCTCAGAGGCAGTTCAGGCCCGCTGTGGGGATCGCCAATTACAGTGGTGCTGGTAGATGGCAGCTCCTGACTGAGCATTACCTTCCTCAGATCGAAGAGTTCCGGTTTTGGCAAGCGAATCCCCAGTCCGCGGCAACTGAGCCAGGACACATTGTTATTAGTTGGGAATTCTGGTCATCTCCGGGTGATCCCTAGGGGTGGCTTGTTTTCAACCTCCTGGTTTCCCTCTTTGACCTGAGATCGAGCTGTCAACGAGGAGGTATAGAGCACACGTGATACGGGAAAAGCCGCGAAAAGCGAACAGTTATGAAGAATTTTTCCCAACGTCGCACTTTTCTCTGAGGGCAAAAACGGGCGCAGTTTGTCGACGGGGGGCATTCTGCTTTCCATAGATGTGCCGACCCATCTAGGTAGCCTTTTCTCGAGTTGACACGTTTTAGGATGGTGGCTAGACGATCTTGCACCAGCTTCACAAGGGTTCACAAGTTTTACCAGGGTGAGATTTGTAAACCGGAACTAGGGAAGCAATGGTAGTACAAAATGCCCCCCGTCGACAAACAACGCCGCAAGTACGATCTCCCCCTCTACCAATAGCAAGCGAATGGGAGCCCTGTCCTCCCAGCAATCAATGCCCCTGTTGGTGAATTCCCAATGATGATGTGCTCTGAACTGAGCTGCTGACGTCTTACATCGTCTTACGTCGTCTTCTTAGCTTTACTCACCTGCTCACTGTGGACTACCCACTTTTCGTCTCTAGTGAACAACTTCTGGAGAGAACAGAAGTTCTGCTGAGAAATTTAGAAGGTCATGCATGCGTTCCTTCGCACCTATAGTTGATGGTTGCTGAGATCATGCAGTATCCTTGCACCGGATCTCAGTATCTTCTTAAGGCCACGCAGGTAGCCAGGTGGTATGGCGGCACCCTAGTTTCTCTGCCGCCTCACGGGTGCTACATCATGGATCTTCTGCGACCATCCCAGGATGCCCTTCCCCTCCAGTACAAAGGTCTTCCATGCTGCAATCTGGTCTGCAAGTCAACGTCTTGAACTTTTGTGTCCCAACTTTCCCCGTGTCTCCGGGAACAGTGGAAGGACCCTTTGCATCACATATGTTGACCGTGTCTCTAGCACTACCTTGCTTTCTAAACGCGTAGAGCGTGAGAAGCTCAATGTACTTGAATCAAAGTCCCAACCACTGATGGTGCGTCACGTAGGAGCGCTCACTCCTAGCACTCCTTCCGTTCAGCCTAAGCAGAGCGCTAAATGGCGCTGGTGTCAAAGAGTAAATGCCATATACGTAATCGATCAGGACATCAAACAACCTTATTACGCTTTATTAAGCTTTTATCGGTTCCGGAGAAAGAGGGTGTGGCGCCAGCGTCAAGAACGAATGCCATATTCGTGATTATGATGTCACTTAACCCCCGTATACAGGTCCATCGATTCTGGTGAAAAAAAGATGGGAGCACCACGTTTGGCACCAATTGGCGTTAAATGGCGCCAGCATCAAAAATGAAGGTCATATTTAATCAGTCTTCAGACCTACTATCAAAGAACCAGCATACGTCAAAGTATCAGCAGCATAAAAAAGATTTTAGTTTCTGGGATAGCAGTAGTCCAATATGTAGTGCCAATTTTGAAAAATTATAGTATTCAAATAATCCTTCTCGATAATGTTCTATTGTTACATTCGACAATCGGGAAATGTTCTTAAGGTTGGAGATGTGATCCATGAATTAATTCATTCTCTTGGAGTAGAGCATATGCAAAATCGTTACGATCGCGACAATTATGTGAAAGTCAACCTGTCATCTTCCGAAAAGGTAAATCTTTTTTATTATACAACGTGCTGTTTTTCGAAGCAACGAAAGGGAAGAAACGAGCATGCTCAACTTCGGATGAGGTGTGTAGAGCGCGCTCATACTTTGAGACTCGGTCTTGCTTGAAAGGTCCCTCAGACTGGGACCTTTCAAGCAAGACCGGAGCGCTTCACCGCTGGTCGGTGATCCAAGCAATGACATCCCTGATGATTTATTCACAACTTGACATTTTTGTTTTTTCCTTACCCTCACAAGCTTAGTATCCATCACGGGATATCTTTCATGTTCTGACTTTAAAGTCGTGCATATCTGACAATGATTAATGCGAAAGTGTATATCCGACAGCACTACTGGGCTATTGACATCGTACCCTATCTGATAAGCATCCTCTTGCGCTAAATTGTACAAATCATTGATATCTTGTAATGGTAAAGAGGGAAAGTTTACAATCTTTTGGAGCGAATGCAGTTGAAGTATCGGTTTTAGCGGTTCACCAATCCGCCCGAGCGGCCACAGCCGTGCGAAGTATGAACGCACTCTGAAAGAACACTGACAAGGGAGGTCTTTCAGGTTGTGTCGCGCTTTTTCGAAATGGTTTATTGCTTGGTAGGGATCACAAAAATGGATCTCATTTTTGCTACAAATAATGAGTGGGCTATTTTACCTATCTTAATGGGCTCCGTTCTGATTGTAACTTCGAGCATGCATAGTTTATGAGGTGCTCGTTAACCTAACTTCAAAAATAGTTTTAAATGAAGTCAATATGTAAGTATCATGCAGTAACGCACTTGGCATAAGCCGACGCAACAGTAATGTTTTTGATTCGTTAATACTGCTGTGCCTCTCGAGGTTTTCAGGTGGAATATTTATTTGGCGGCCTAACGTTTCGACGTACCGCAATACAGCGGAGTATTGTTAGAGCACAGTTGCAAGATGTTGTTCAGTTAGTGAACATCCCTAACAGCAACATCAAGCAGCAACTGGTTCGAAACAGGCTCTACGATAAACAGTGCATATCGCGAGATTGTGTCATCTGTCCACATGGCAGATTTGGTGATTGCGCAAAATTAGGTGTGATCTACCAAATAGAATGCCAGTCGTGTGGATACACATATATCGGAGAGACGGGAAGACCGCTAGGTGTACGAATAAACGAGCACCTACTGGTATGAGGCGGGGTCGGCTCACGACAGCGCTGGGTAGACATAAAAGTGAGGAGCATAATGGCGACAACTTCGAGATCAAGTGTATAATATTGGCGCAGGAGACGGAAATTTCTGCTAGGAAGGAACAGCAGAGATGAGTGTCCGTCAATAGCTAATGACTTTTTGCCGTTCATGCCATACTGCGAATTATAAGTAGCGGTGTTACGTGCGTCTCCTTAACATTATACGTATAAGGAGACCCTACAGTAGGTCTCATTCGCTACTGACTAACATCCGCATGTGACGGCGGATTTGCGGTGGAACCCTGGTGAGTGCGCTTTTCGAATTCTGTAGAATTTTCTTGTTGAGTTCCGAACACATCATCGGAACTGCTAGGGTTGGTTGGGCGCTTGGCGGGGTAGTGTTCATCTCCTTAACTCGAAACGCGTTTAGGCCTCTGAAGAAGACGACCACGTCGAAACGTTAGGCCGCTAAATAAATATTCCACCTGAAAACCTCGAGAGGCACAGCAGTATTAACGAATCATACAACAATGCCGAGGTTACAGCAAGAGAGAAGCTGGAGAGTAATGTTTTTGTCAGCTCACTGTGGGCGGATCGGATGGCGCAGCGGATAACTCGATGGATTCTGGATGGGACGACGATACGATACTTTGTTTGAAACTATTTTCGAGGCCTAATTAACGAGCACCTCATAAACTATGCATGCTCGAAGTTACAATCAGAACGGAGCCCATAGTTAAAATCGCCCATTCTTGTCAAATTCTTTTCACTCAGTTTTTGACCTCCCCAGAAACGCATAGCAAAAATGAAACCCATTTTTGTGATCCTTGTATGGACCCCTACAACAAGCAACAAACCATTTCTAAAAAGCGCGCCACGACCTGAAAGACCCCTGTGGGCGCAAACAGCATCTTTTCTAGTCATAATGGTCAGAAATGGTTGAACAGGTGAGCTAGCCTGTGGAGATTTCTTTGTACAACTTCAAACGCAAAGAACTGCTGTGAAAGCAAATGAAAGGAACCGACCCCGTATGAGGTTCGCAAACTAGAAAGTGCAGCAACCAGCAGTTAACACTTCTGGGAGGTGCATGTCACTTGAACATTCCGAGACAGCGGGTTGCGACGGCCCTTGCACCGACTCGTTTCACCCTCAGTGAGAAGTTGGTCCGCAACAAATGAGGGATGAGGGGTGTGGACATCATTTGTTCTCGAGGAATAACACAGTCAATAGCTGACTAGGGAAAGTCGCCACGTCGAAGAGGCCATTTGTAATGGAACATATATGACCGGATGCAATTTCGGACGCTACTGTCAAACCTGCCTTCCGAATTCTCTGGATGGAGTTGTGAAGGTCTGTTTGAGTGAAGGGACGGGGAGTCAAGCGCGGTTGCCATTCAGTTAGCGTGAAATCGCGAATTGCCTCCTTCATAATGGCAGGATGGTGTAGTGAGAAGCGTCTTGCTTCACCCGCGTGCAACTCTTCTTCTTCTCCCTAGCGTTAGTCCCGCGCCGTCGCAGGGTCCGCTGTTCTTGTTAGACGTCGCCACTTGTTCCGATCCACTGCATCTTCTGCCGTGGCTTTCACTTCAGTGAGGTCCTTCTTGATGACGTCCCTCCATCTTTTGGGGCTCCTCGTGGTCGCTTGCCCTCTGCTTCGAATTCCAATGCCTTCCTTATTGGGTGGTCCTCAGGCCTTCTCAGCACGTGCCCATACCATCGCAGTCGCTGCTCTCGTGCCTTCAGCTGGATCGGAGCCGTCTGTGTGACCGCCGCTTCACAGGCATGCAATGAAGTTCAGGATTTGGACGAAATTTTGCTGTTTGTGAAGAATGTCTTTTTCGAGCCAAGAAACACCTTCAAGCGCTAATAGGATCACATTTACGAATGCAATCGGTGACGTAGGTAACCCTATAGGATTGGGAGCCTGCATCACATAAGAAATCGTTCACGTACATGTGCTCGTAGCTCACGCCCCCAATCCTATAGGATTACTTACGTTACCGATTGGTCTCGTGAATGTGATCACGCGCAAATGGGTGCCATTTTCATTTTCAGAGAGCAGAGCTACCTCCATTGCAGCGTTCTAGCAGCATGTAGAGTTTTCTCCTACTCGAAAAGTGAGGCAGCATTTGGTGGAATAGTGGTCACCAACGATTCCAGGGTCAGCCTGTCATCGATGACTTGTCTTGAAACAGAATTTAACAGCATTCAGATATCACAAAAAAACCAGAGCAGGAACGGAACGAATGCATCAGAAATAGCAATATGAGGCTCCATGCAGGATAATGCATCAGTAAGTAAATAGGTGTGAACAGGGATGGAACTGCACCCATGCTTCGCTTCTGAAGGCAGGCTAAGATGCCGGATTTGGCTAGAAACTTTTATCTAGGCGTAGTACCCGCTTAACACCAACAATGCCTTCTTTTTGCCCGAGAACGTCTGAATTCGCCTGAAGAAGAATTGCACCTGTGCTCCAATTCTTCTCCTAGCCAAGCCGTAGTAAAAATTGAATGCAAACTCTCAGGCACTTTTAGGTGACCAAAGTGACGCTAAAAACCACTTTTTGCCATGCTTCTGCGAGAAGCAAAAAAGTTAGGCATAAGAAGGATCCGATCCCGTGATATTGCCTGGAAAACGTATAGGAAAAAGCTTTGTAACTCTGTTTAGAGAATCAGCGGCGGCAGATTCGAGATCAGCGCCCAAAGACACGTGAGGGGATCTATGCCTCATTACAAATAGCCATTTTGACCGAACGACTTTCTCTTGTGAGCTATAAGTTCCCGGATTCACGCTGAAGATAGAAACTTAAGAGGATTCACCTAGCTATCTTCACCGCGGCTGTTAGAATTCACTCATATTTAATTATATTAAGTAAAACTTCAGTAATGAATATGCAATAACGACTAGATGAAATTGGGGGAATACCACTCTGGTACCACTCGTCTCTATCAATGCTTGGACTGTTTTAGGTAAATTTTAGGCAGATGACAAATATCAATTTGAGAAAATGCAAGCTGATAACTCCATCAACTACACGCCGTACGAGTACGGCAGTATTATGCACTACAGCGCAGAGTTAGTTTTCATTATAACACCAGTTCTGATACATAGTTGATAGTCGGCGCTGTTTATCGACGGGGGGGGGCATTTTGTATTATAATTGCTTCCCTGGTTCCGGTTTACAAATCTCACTCTGGTAAAACTTGTGAAAGCTGGAGCAAGATCGTCTAGCCACCATCCTAAAACGTGTCAACTCGAAAAAGGGTACCTAGATGGGTTGGCAAATCTATGAAAAGCAGAATGCCCCCCCCGTCAATAAATAGCGCCGTTGATAGTCATTATCTGATAGTGGAACGTTGGCCGATAGGGCACTTATAGATCGTGGATTGGGTCACATTCAAAATTCCATCCATTATTTTAGGTGGAACGATGGCACTATTGTGATGACGCCTGTAGATTCGTTGTACATGCGTACGATGGGCTCGCCGATTCCTTCTTTTTACGACATGATGATGCTGAACATGCACTACAAGTGCAACGGTATCCTTACATTTATTCGAGGCTTTTCCTCATCACCATAGCTGTGCGCACAGTCGAAACTGTTGAAGGCAAAGCCTGCGATCACCCACTACCTTAGGGGTTAGGGGTATGCATATAGACGGCAAGGTTCCGAGTAACTGGATAGTGAAGAAAAAGCAGAAAAGAAACATGCCAACTGCCCTAGATGGAGCCCCATTCCGATCCCAGTTTGTACGTGCCCAGTAACTCCATCTCCAACATTACGCCCTCATCCGCACAGCTGATTCCCCGATAAGAACTCTACGACCGTACAAGTGACGATTTTCATGCTTTTTCGTCCTGCAGCTTCGTTCGTTTTTCACTGAAAGGCGGGCCTTGAAGGCGGAGTCTGGAGGCGGAGTCACTGGAGAAAAGGAGGCGTCACTGAACCTGTACTGCGCTGCACTGCCCCTCCCTTACAATTTTCGCTGCGAAAGCCGGTACAGAGTTCGTTCTTCGCGGACCACACTATTCTCCCGACGCAGTATTTTCAACTTCTATACCTGATCGCGGACCGTGCTTTCATATGCACCTGCACACAGATACTTCAGAAACTTGTCAGTGACAAGAATCTTGTGTATCCCCAGTTGCTTATCTGCCAGAGTTATGGTACAGGGAAGGAGAAAGGGAAAATACTTCACTATTGGAGTGCATCAGTTTGTCATCAAGGTTGGAGGCAGTTGGCACGATAATTTGGTGCTTGCCTAAAATGCTAGTAGGATATAGTGGGGAAATGGCGAAAGAACGGAGTGAAACGGTCAAAATCCTGCGAAGAAAAGCCTCCGTTCTCAGTGACTTGAAAATCGATTTTGGACGAGTTTCCCGTAGGCATCTTGCCAATAACCGCTACCGAAGGTACGGCTGCATATGTGTACTCATATATCCATGCAGCATCACGGCCGCTTCATACCAATCCCTTCGCTTCATAATTTGCTTAGCAAATGAAGCAGTACGAGCGTCAGGAACGGTCGTCCATTTGTGGGCGGGCGGGCGTGGCGGGCGTTCGGGTCGTAATGTTGTAGCTTCATAGGGCCCTTATAAGGGCACCTTTCTTGGAAAAGGCGCTATGCAGCGCCTGCTCAGGGTCGCGGAATTCCGTCCTGCCAGGCGTATTAATCCTACTCGTCTTGGGGGATTTATCGTGCCAACTGCCTTTAATCTCACGCAAAATGGGCACTGCGTGCGTCACTCATGGTGAGATGTACCTGCACATGGATTTAGGCCACTCCTTCACGCATGTGGCCGTTTACTGTTTCCCTCAGGGCAAAAAAAATTTCACAGGCTCAAATTCCATGAGCGAAAGCTGTCTCCCCCTCGCTAAACGGTACGCTTCATAAGTAAAAGCTTCATAGGTTAAAAACAGCTCTTTCCACTGCACGATAGAGCGATTCAATTCAAGAAACCTTTGATTCCAATCAGGAATGAGGCGTCTGTGAATGTCGACAAACCCTAAAGGCTGAGCCCGCATTCAAATTTGATGAGTTATGCGGCTCAAATACTTATAACAAGGTAGCAAGTAACCCCTTAGTGAAGAAAAATCAGAAAGAAATCATAGGAAAGGCTCTATATAGAACCCCTTGCTTAACTGAGGTTGTACGTGCTCAAGGCGAAGAGAAGGTGCGGTCGCACGAGTTCTCACTTGTTGATATCAGCTGTTTTCCCTTATCACCTCACTCTCACCACTCGACGTGGAGAGAAGCAGCAGCGGAACAACCGCACCATCAGGTAACCATTAGAAATGAATGGTGGGCGGTGCCAATGATAGGGGGTTGGGCCAGTGAGAGGAACGACAGCATCGCGGACTTCCCACTCGCTTTGCGCCTGCGAAAGTGATGCAATCGCTGCCTCTGCCGACCTGACTACCTGCTCACGAAGGGAGAGGAAAGTCTCAACTGAACGCGGGCACTGCCTTCAAGGGATGCAGATCCCATATAGGGTCTCCGATCTCTAACGAAACATGAGCCAAACGAGAAAGCGAAGTGTCGATCATTGCTAGAATCAGGAGATGGAGAACGTGTTGGCTTCGCGTTAGATAGACTCCCTCACATGTCCCAGCGCGCATGACGACCACACTCTTGCTTGAAGGCTGGGTGTGTAAGTTACGGTATAAGAACGTTGGGCGCAGTTCGGCAACGGGGGGGCATTTTGCACTTTTGCTACTTCCCATCGACGTGTCGACCATCTAGACAGCCTCTTCTCGAGTTGACAGGTTTTACCATGATGGCTTGACGAGCTTGCTCCAGCTTCACAAGAGTCACCAGAGTGAGACTTGTAAACCAGCAGTAGTAAGCAACGCAAGTGCACCCCCAACCGATGCCGGCCTGCGCCGATCCAAAAATTGCTCCAAGGTAATTCTAGCCTGTTCATTTGCTATACTAGTAGAATAATCGGTTGACCTTATTGTTACATATCGCCATGACATTCAAGCAAATACTTGCAAGCACGGAGCATTATCACAGTCCATTCTGTGTTTCATGTTTGGGAGGCGGTAATGCAGAGGCAGTGGCAAAGTTTATGACGGAGGCTGAAGTGCCAGACCGGCTACCGCAAGTTGTTAGGCCACCTTGCACTTAGTGAGCCACTACGACACTGAACTGGTGAAGATGGGTGCAGAATGTTTGAAAGAAATGGATCAATAGTTCCTTTTCACACAGTTTTCTTTTGTTGTGGTTGGAAACTTCCGTAAATTTTACAGCTTACTGTGAATCTTCCAATAAGATTATGTGCGCAAATGGAGGAGTTCCAAATCCCAGAGAATGCGATGTATGCATTTGCCCATACGGCTACGGCGGCAAGTTCTGTGATGAACGGGTAAGGCGATCTACAACTCGAATACTCATGAAAATTTTTTTCATGACAGGAAATACTTGTAAAAAGAAGAATCTGTTACACTGTGGCATTTTTGAAACCATTCAGAGTTTAACATCGGAGAAATAACTTAAGAGAACTGTTCAGCCGGCTGGATGTGGCAAAAAACTCAAGGCATTTTCCTTTTGGAAGAGCGAGACATTCTCGTTTGAGGATACCTCCGTGGCTAGCGATCACAATCGCAGAATGTGCAATCACTGGATAGAGGTAAGCTACACTTCAGAATCTGCTTTTAATTGAAATAGTTGATCCACGCCCAGATTAACTTCGTTGAAGCTGGAATTTTGGAATCTTCTTGTGAAGCAACGAAACCGATTGTAAATGTCAGTTCGTGCGCAGAAATCTCCGCACGAATATCAAGTTATGTGCTGCGCGTGTTGAGCGATGTGTCAACTTCTGTCGTTTTCCAGCTGAAAGCTGGAAAGAAGGATGACACTTTGCCGATCTATGCCTACGTGCAGGCCAAAACTCACAAGCGTGTAACTGTATTTCGACCAGAGTTACAAAGACGATTCCCGCGACCGTGTGTTCCTTGAACCCCTCCCTCATTTGGCATCAGTGTCCACACTCGCAGAGAATATACCACTTTCGTAACTCGAAATGGCGAGATAGCGAAGCTAGGGATGCGTGAGTTTTGCAAGCGAGTACTGCAATCCTGCAGGACAACGGCTCACAAGCAGAATTGTACATACATAACGTCGCCTGGAGCGTCGTACGCGACTTTCTGTGCTCCTGCCGAGATCATTGCGCTTAGAGTCCTGCTGTCTTCATTATGAACTCGTTCAAGGCACCGGTCCCACTGCTAGGGAGGGGGTCTTTGCTCTGCTCGCAGGGTGTTCCCAAACTTTTTCGCTTCTTTCTCTACTGATGAGTTTTTATGGGCTACTGGTACGACTGAGCACCTGCTACCTGTTACACTTGATCGCGAGAATAGTCTTGAAAGCAAGGCTGTCCTCTCCTCAAAAGTAGTTCTCTTCCCTAAATGTGACTGCTCAACTTCATCTCACCCCCACTGTTGTCAAAAATTCTTCTTCTCCCGATTCTCACCTCGTCTAGGCCCTCAAACTGTTTGACATCAACCAGAGACCTTCAACGAAAGTCTCGTCATTGGAGTGGTATGGCACTACGTCGACTCGTGTGCACCCTTAGTTCGCCGCGACGACACCCAGCATGTGCCGCCTGGGAGCCAAGGGAGCTGTGGAATTCCCTGGCATACTATACGCATCACATTGGTTTGTACTTGGTGCTTGACTACAATATTTGTCAGATGGCCGAAGATGACAGTCAGGCAAAGGACTGAGTTCAGTTTTCTTCATTAAACTGGTTCAGAGTAATGTTACTCAAATGTCGTTCAGGCACCATTGGGTAAAAGGATCGTGATTCGGGTGACTAGATTGCCGACCGACGAATGCTATTACGGCTGCATTGTGAGTGGTATTGAGCCAAAGATTTCAGAAGATAGTAAAATCACAAATCCAAGGTAGTTTCGTGTTCAGAATATGCTATAGTTTTGGGAAACTATTATTAATTTCAGATACTGTTGTAAAGAACAGCTCAACAAAGCCCGAGAACAAATCAGCGAACTCAATCCGACGCCAATCTTTTCGTATAGCAATCAGTACGACTCG